GGCACCCATTACCTCTCCAGAAAGCCAGTTATTAACTGTCTGAAAGCTAGACCTGACAGAACTAAGGAAAAGTTGACTGTGAATGGGAAGAAACTGTGAATGAAAATAAAATGAGGCACTAAAAGAAAAAAGTCATTATTGTACCAGAACTCTGTTTTCCAGAAACTTTGAGGGCAAGAAAAAAAAAAAAAAGTCTTCAGTATTAGGTAAAAACCACTAATGAGTCTTTTTCCTTCTGTCTCCTTTTGTTTCCCCCCGCCTTGTATGCGATTAAGAGCCTGGAAAGATCCAAATTGCTGCAGGCTGTCCCACAAAACTACTCCAGCAAGCTCAACCTGAAAAGTTTACACTGATGTAACTCTGACCTGCTGGAAACCCTTAGCTTAGGCATTCAAAAATCCCCTTTGATTCCCTCTAAAGGACGGCTCTGGGATACAAACTTCACGCAGATTTTATAACGCACACAGCTCACAATACAGTCATAGGACAGTATTTACTGACCACTCTTATACCCTCAGCCAAAAAGCCAACTACTACATCCATTCATATGCCTATCTCAGACTAGAACTGTTGGCTTAGTCACAATCTAATCAATCCATACACCTTTAAAGAAATCCTACTTCCACAAAACAAACTGTAGGATAAGCAGCACAATTTCAAAAGCTGGAAACAGTACATCTGGCCACTAACTAGAGAAAGGTCATGAGCTGTGGGAAAAACAGTAGAAACCAGGTACCAGGGACAGAAAGTGGTGGGCAAACTTTCCTTCCTTTAAATTATTATAGCTACACTGATACTCAACTGCAGAATGCAGGGGGTTTTTTTCCTTTCAGTATTTCCACGTTTCTAAACAGCTCAGGAATTATACATGTAATAATTAGTAATTTACAGGGAAAAAATATAAATTCTTTTACCGCAGTTAAAAATTAAGATTAGCAAAATCTCAGCAACTATACTTTTAATCTGTAAAATAAAAAGCATTCCTTAAAGTCTATCAGTAAAAAAGAAACTGCTACCCTTGTCTCTAAACTTGTACTATCTAAAACTAAGAAGCCTCACAAAAGATGTTATGAAAGCCACACCATACCAATACTACTTTCTTGCACAGTCACACACCAAGTTTTCTTTAACAGTATCATCCCAATCCACGATATAAATTAAAACTGTAAGCAAACTTGAAGTATTTAACACTACAAAACCCCCTAATACTTTGCTGTTGCCTTTATGCAAACTTCTAACATTTTTTGAGTACTTACGACAGAAGTCGGTCAAGTTTTGGTCCATTATGTCCCTGAAGGACAAAAGGTGGCTTGTATACCTTCATTATTCCTTACAATCTATACACTTTACAATCTATACACTTTCTCTGTTTCTCATGTTCTTGGTCTCTGTATTTATGAAGCAGTGATGATTTTGAAGTTATTTATAAACATTAACTCATTAAATTCGCAAGTGTCATATTAGATACCAACTCAGTGACTCATATTCCTGACAATATATTTACCATAGCTGGAAGAGAAGGTAAATTTACATGCACAAGTAAGCACACACTGGCATGTCATGTACTAATCCTTTATTTTAAAATGGTATTTGACATTAAGTAACTCCAAAGTTATTAAAAATACGTATGTCAACTGAAGTTGGCTCATTATCAAACAACCACTGGAATTTATAAACACTGCCTGACTATCACTCTAACAAAATGAAAAATAACCCATATAACAAAAAATCCTTTCATTTTTAAGGATCATAAATGGAAGCTGTAGTTGTTTTAAAGTTTGTTATTACTGTACTAAAATGAGTGCAAGTTAAGGAAAATTACAGTTATCAAGTACTCCCCAACAGGGAAAGCATACACCATGTATTAAGGTTTCTTAAAAGAAAGTAGCAAAGTTATCAATTCACCAGACAAAATTATTTTATTGACCTCCTTATGGGTAATCTTGGCCTCATAAAAATGTCAACGTTTTAGATCGCACATCTGGTCCTGGTGGTTTTACAGACTGTCATCAGTGCACAGTGAACAACGCAAACATCCAAGCAACAAGCTCTGCAGCAAAATAAAGTAATATTACTACTTTAGCACTTTTACTCAAAACATAAGGCATCTAAATCCTTTATAAAACAGAGAAAAAGCTTTGAACCAAAATAATACACTTTTGTTGGCAATGAACTAATTTAATTCTTCAGTTCCCAATTTCCCCAAGATTCTTAAGCATTGGCTACAAAATGTGAAGGAAAACATCACACCAGTTGAAGAGTTCTCTTTAACATGCCATTCTTCACTGGTCACTCCTTTGGCAAAGCATTTCTGAGGAAATCTTTCCATTTGTGCCTAGGAAAACCCTGAAGCTACAAGCCACACAATTTAACTTTGAAATTAGACCTGCTTTGAGCAGAGGGTTGGACTAGATGACCTCCCCACAGTCCCTTTTTCAACTTGAATTTTTACGTAGGCAGATTTTTTTTCCTCAGGCTTAGAATAATTTCAAAAAATATTTTTCTGAACTTCACATGGGAGTCAAACACTACTGAATCCAGGTACACTTCAGGGGAGGGAGATGAGACTAGCTCTCAACTATAATCAAGCCACATCTTAGACAACACCCCCACCCCACAGACACACATTTCATGAGCAATAGGCTTAGCAAAGCCTGCCTTTCTACTGATCCATCACAAACCCCATGTTCCTTCCTACACAGTAACATTTATTCCCTTCTCCTGCATTGCCTGCAGTCTTACTGCTCCCCACAGAATTCAGGTCTGCCCACACTGCCTTTACTCTTTACTGAGACTGGAAATGTCACTTGTAGATATGTTAGAAGTAATATATACCCAAACATTTTTCTTCCCAACTACTTACTACTCTCTACATTATGGCAGCGACACTATTGTTATAACAGTCTGCAAGCTGAAGGACAGTTACTACAGAAGAAAAGTTCTAGCTTACAGTTAATTGAACTGTATTATAACCACACAGTTACAGTAGTAGAGACTGCAGAAGCATTTACAAAGATGTTTTAACAAAATTACATGTTGTTCTTAGGCATAATGACACAATGGCAATAGCCTTTCTGCAGACAATCTGGCTAGCAACATGAGTAAACACTCATTCCAGCTCTCTATCCTTTTTTAGGGGAAAACCAAATCAAAACCAGGACCCGACTTCAAAGAGGACATTATATTAGATGAAAACAAGTAGAGCACACTAACCAAATGAGAAAGCGAAGCCGTAAGACTGGCATCTGACAATATGTCCTTTATACAGAAAAATTTTCAAGAGAGACTTGCACAGCGCTTAATATGGGGCAACACTTTTTTCTGAAGAGACACCTATCTACAACGCTTCTCTGAAAAGTATTTCAGCATTATAATTTCAATTAATACAGCCTCCTAAAGGAAAAGACAGGAAAGAAAAATATTAAAAGCCATTACTGTAGAACAGAAAAAAATATCAAAAGAAAAAAGCTTTTTAAAAGTCTGTCAAAAGAAGTGACACAAAAGACCTTTATCATGACAGCAGACTTGCATGAAAACATATCAGACAGATTTGTAATGAGCTTCTTGCTATTTGCTTTTAAACAAGGAGACTTTCAGATAAAGTGATCCCTGCTCAGATTTAAGAACATACTGCAGAAAAGAGACAGACAAGTACAATCAGTTTTTATGTCAAAACTTTGTTCAGCACGTATAGCTAGTTTATCAAATCTATAATATTAATTATTCCCAAATTAGCAATCTGGTCCTGCTCACCTTTGCATTAACAAACCAAATGCAAAATATTAAAACAGAAAAAACTTCATCACCAATTAGACCAAAGATGTTGAAATATTTTTCCAGTCACCACTGAAAGCTATTAAGTGCATTTACACCATCAATCTGGACCACTTCCTATTTATTCAACGATCCTGTTCCTTGCCCCTGTACTGCATGTGACTTAAACTGCTCCCAGTATCCCTTCTGGAAGGGAACAGCTAATCTCCTGGGAGTATTTTGATGGTAAAATAATCCAGGATTGCACCACAGGCAGTATGCTTGAGACAGCCCAAGGTCTTGCTGTTTTCAGTTAAGCCAATCTGATAGCACTACCCTAGAAGACTTTGAGATTTCACACACCCATATCCCAGACACTCAACCTACAGCACTAACCCACATTGTCACACAACAAAAGCAGGAATATGGCAACCAGAAAGTTTTTTTTCCCGAGAACTTGGTCATGTGATCGATACATAGCAATTATTAAAAGGAACAGGAAAAAAACCCAAACCCTGTATGTTAAAAATGTTACGGGTCTGAAAAACATCCCGCAGGGCATGGGTCAGGGTACAGTGGCTTGTCATTGAAGGGAACAGCTTAGCTTGGAGGAACGCCATCTGACCAAGGGAACAGGGACTGCTTCCTGAGGGCAGCACAGATATAACCAGCACTGCTACTACAGCTGAAAGTTAAACTACTAAATGTTCCATAAATTTATACACTAAAAGCAGAAAATGAAGGTTTCTTTGCTAAAGAACTAATATAGTATAAAGGCAAATAAGCTTTCCGAAACAATATTTTGATCTAGTGCATCCACACTTGGGAAGAAAAATTGTCCTTCTCCATGACGACTTAATTCTCTACTTCTAAAAGGTTAAACCTTCTTTCCTTGCTTGCTGCTTTCTTCTTTATATGTGTGTGTCAAAAACTTAACATTTATACATTAATTAGTCTGGTTGAAAATGACAGCAGTGAAATCTTCCAAGGCCTCCCATCTGACCTTCAACTCTTCCACGACAGGCCAATAGCAACTGCATTGTTTGAATGGGTGGGGATCATAAATAAGGGATCTAGCTACAATCAAAATTTTTACACAGGAAAGCTGCACTACTAAAATCTGCAAGCATACAAATGCTGCCCTAATGCAAGACAGTAATTATAAGTCCTTGACATTTAATTTCTCATCATTAGTGAAGAGTTACTACATTCTTTAATTGAACAGCTGTTCACTTATAATGCCATACCTTCTCTGGATTTCCAATTCTTCTTGTGATGGACCATTTTGTACTTGAGAAGGAAGCTGTGAATTCTGTCGAGGCAATGTAGGACCTAAAAGTGAAGACAGACCCTAAATTAATGATTTCAGCTTTCACTTTGCAAAAAAGCACAAAAATCAAGGAAAAAAGCCAGCCATCACAGGACATGATAGGAACTGTTTAGTTCTGCTTTTTAAGCCAAACAAACTCAACAACATAATACAGCAAATAAAAACTGCAACAAATGTTACCTTACATATTTGCAGAATGGATTTATTTCACATGGATGAAGAGGTTTTACAAAAATGCAAAATAAATTTTTTATAATGAGACTTAACAGAAGCTTTGAAAAGCACTCCAAGTTTGAGATTTTCTTAAAACAATGAACAAGTACTCTTGGAGGAACAGAAAAGGCTCAAAAAATTAAAACACTCACCTAAATAGAACACTGGAAAAAAAAAAAAAAAAGAACAGGAGAAAAAAACATCAGAAGCTTATCACCATATCAAGAGAAGGAGGATAAAATACGTTTCTACAGGTAACACCAAAATTTACTCAGATTTTAGCTCATCAACTTGGATCAAAGACCCTCCTTTGTGGACAGGCAAGTATTCCATCCGAAGGAACAGAGGCATACAGTGAATGTATAAGCTGTGCATTCTGCCAAGCACAGGAAATGCAAAAGGGGAGGGCATGCAAATTCATCTTCGACCTTTACTGATGGGCAATTCTGAAACATACATCTTCCAAATAATTGTATATGCTAGATCTGCCTTCTAAAAACAAAGAGGCTTCTCCACTTTCCTCATGACTGTATTTACAACACAAAGTTATTTTAAAAGAATTAACAGAAGTGAAGGATATAGAAGGGTGGAATGGAATACAGTAGATTATGAGTGCACTGTTTCTGTAAAAACAGGCAGTGAACCAGGAAACTATTTAGACCATAGCTACACTTAAGATTATGGACTTTATAAGCAAGCAGAAATAAAAACAAAAATGTATCCGGTTCTGAAAAGGTCCCAAAGCAAAACAGTAATCTCTTGCTGATAGTCCACCAAACTAGTTAGAGCAATGGCGTTGTAATGAGATCTCCCCCATCTCAAATATCAAAATGTCGTTGTTTGCCATCTGAACTTATGGAAGTCATCCAAAAAACATGAAGAGACCATGTGTGATATATTGAGACATCAAAGACAGTTGATCACCCTCAGACTCGCAAATGAGTGCCCTGTTTAAAGGCTACACAAAAAGGTTCATTTACCCAAAACGGCATAATGGTCACATGTGGCCATAAGGACAATGAATTCGGAGAATTATGTAAGTGTATCCTAGCTACTGTACCTTATAGTTAAAAAGTAATGTAAGAACTCACTTCTAGAAGATAAAAGCAGGAAGTGTACTACAAAGGTTGTGTCTTCTTTATTTATTCTTTACAGCAAGTGTTAGGTCCTCATACCTAAGTACCTGATGTGGCCCTGGATGTACTCTTGTTGCTTTGAGTACCTTCAAGAAACACCCATGGATACAAATCTATATTACTTTTAATGCAAAAGATTTAACTGCAATTATAATTAATAATTAAGTTATCAGTAGAAACATCTGTCATATTGCTCATCTAGAAAACTGTTCTCATTAGAATCATAGAATCATAAAGGTTGGAAAAGACCTCAAGGATCATCAAGTCCAACCCAACACCACCTAACTCACTAAACCATGTCCCTAAGCACCACATCTACACGTTTCTTGAACACCTCCAGGGATGGTGACTCCACCACCTCCCTGGGTAGCCTGTTCCAATGTCTGACCACTCTTTCAGTGAAGAAATTTTTCCTAATATCCAGCCTAAACCTTCCCTGCTGTAACTTGAGGCCATTTCCTCTTGTCCTATCACTTGTTACTTTAGAGAAGAGGCCAGCACCCACCTCACTACACCCTCCTGCTTTAAAATTTCTGAAGTCACACATCCTCCTTTGTCACCTCCCCTGCACTGCAGGTGGGGGGTAGGCTTTTATGCCCATTAAGCCACGACCGCAGCTCCCAAGCAGCCAGGCTGTTTGCTGTCCGCATCACGCTGCAGCCTTTCATGGACTTGGAGAAGTAGACACAATCCGGCAGCAGCTGTGGTGCTGCTTTGGGGGGCTACATACCCCTGCCACTCGCCACATCTAACACACTCCCTTCCCTCAGACCTGCTGTTTCACGGTATGAAACACATTGACCTGAAAATTAATAATCAAGAACAAAAATAAAAAGAAATGGTCATACTATGGCCATTTACCAACTGGAACTATTTTGTACAGAAAACACAGGAGAAACAAAGTACCCTCAATACATATTATATATATACATGCAATAATAATAAATAATATACATGCAAGAGAGCTGAACACAATCACCTGCTAACAATTAACACGGCTGTTCTAGCATTTCTTATACATTTTTGCCATAAGGAAATGCAACCTGAGTATACCACTGAAAAGTTCAACTTCCAAGTCATTTGGCCCGTTCTCTGACAAATTCCTCTCTGCAAGCACTCTTAATAACCACCGTGCTAACAGACACTGGCAAGTTAAAGGTACATACCAGGGGGAAAAGTATGTTTTATCCCATAAAATTAAGTTATTACAGCAAGCCAAGGCCACCACTTAATTGCTAAAATACAGTTGTCTGGATAGTGGGACAGATGGGATAATAAATAAATAAGCAGGAGCTAGCTAATAAAAAGCTCTCTCAGGTGCTTTTGAACACTTCAAGATACTTCAGAAACATCAAGCCCCAAAAGAAATACTCACAGATACTGCCTGGGAAAAAAAAGGCCGATCCTTCTACAGGATCACTTTATCTTCAGAGATCGGTACAAGCCAAGAGACAAGGCTGAACGGTCTATTCAGTCTGAGTTTTAAGGAAAGCCTAACATCTTTATTTTTCTAAAGAAAGCACAGATGGTGCACTCCACAGTGCACTCTGACAGACAGAGAATATAATTTTATACTAATTTGTTCAGCAGCCATTCGATTTTCAATGCTTTCTGGTTTCCAGCTTATTCTCGCCTTTGCATCAACCTTCCTCTATGACAGTTCAGGCAACTCTGTAGTGAGAGATGGACTGGAAATCCAATGCCTTAAAAATCCCAGGGAAAAAAGCCTGTAAAAAGTATTTTTACCAGCTAGATGGGGACCAGTTCTGGTTCTTCACACAGTCACACAGACAACTGTGCTGGCGTAGCTCAGAGAATGACATCAGACTGCTGGGGGCTGCTTGAATCAAATTAAGCACCCCCAACATCACCTTTTTAAACCACAACCAGAGTTGTAGTTTATCAAACTCCTTAACTTCATTTTCACCTCCAATTAACTTCTTACCTCTGTATCTCCATTCTAGAGCTGAATTAATTCCAGTTGCCCAATGCTGTGAAAGTGTAATTAGCAAGCTGGAGATGGAAATGCATGGTTTGTCCTCCCTC